TATTTTTCGCCCAAACGAAAGGGCATCGACCAAACGAAAGGGCATTTTGTTCCTTTAATTACCATACGTAACTTACATTTTAACCTCCCAACCAATCACACCCCACCACGACCTACGGTTACGAGTAGCTAAGCCTCACGGGCCATGCCCGGGTTCTTAAGGTTGCAGCCTATGGGTCAACGGGCAGGTGCGAAAAAGAAAGGACAAAAAACAAAGCTACGCTAGGGTGAAAACAAGGTCGGATAGGACAAGCTTCCCCTCACGAGTGATTTCATCACAAAACGAACTTAAAATATTCACGAATGTAAAACTGTTCACATGGGGCTCCCCCACGAACTCGTCTTTTTACATGAACTGACTATTTCTACTATAACCCTATTATGGTCCTCCGGCGGCATCGGCTGACGGTACGGGCGACGAGGACAAAGGCGGCACGCTTCCGGTCAGGACGACGTTCGGCTCTATTGGGGGCGGGATGACGCTCGCCTCCAACCTGGTCTCCACTCCCTCCACAGGTTGGACGACATCTTACCGGCGCACGTCTTCAGCCACGCTCGAACGGTGAGCCTCCATCACCCACTGCTCGATGACATGCTCGGCGACCATCTGTGCATATGGCACCAAACTCTCCCCCAGCGCATGGATTTCGTCTGTGCTCCACCCGTCGACATACCCTCTGCAGATGGCCGCGAAGTCCAGATGGGGGTGCTGGGTCGCCACCGAGGTCAACACCCCTGACGTCTCGTAGAACATGTCGTCGGAGATGAGCGCCCAAACTTCGTTCGGGACCTCCGCCAGCTGGACGACGGGCGTACTGGTGCTCGGTCCCAACCTGAACACCTCAGAGATGACCACCTGCGCGATGTTGTGAATCTGGTCGAGCTATCCCTTGAGAGCGCGCCGCTCCTCAAGGGACTAGGCTAGCGCCTCTGTGCCCCGACCGACCACCGCTTTGGCCGTCTCTAGCTCTTGCTCTAGAGAGCCGATCTTTCCACCTAGTTCTAGAAAAAGACGACAAATTCAAAAGGAAAGGAAAGGAAAACTCAAGGCATCAACCGAAGGCGGAACATATACATACCAAAACGGGCGATTTCGAGAATGGAGAGCCCTTCCTCTTGTCGGGTCACCCTCTCGAGCAGTCGAGCGTTCGACTCCTCTGCCACGAGCATCTGCCCCCGGAGCGTAACCACTTCTTGTTCAGTGTCCGACCAGGCCTTCCGCTCCACCTCCAGAGCCTCCAAGGACTTTTGAAGCCCTGCCTCGATCTCCGCCAGGTGGACCTTCGCCACGACAAGTTTCTGCTCGGCAGCAGTTGCCCGCTCAACCACACGCAATTCTGCCGCCCGTGCTCCCGTCGCCTCGGCCACCCGGTCTAGGGACTCATGACGGGTAGATTCCAGCTAGTGCCTGAGCTTGTCGACCCGCTGTGACGCCGTTGCTTCCTGCTCCATCCGACCGTGCTCATCCCAAAGAAATCGGGATTTACGAATCGACATCATCTCTAAGTCCTGTGAGGCAAGAAGCAGACATGCTAAGACAACCATTGAAAGGCCAAGGAGTCAAGGACAACATAAAAAACATAGAGAGCTTACCTCTGTGACACGTGGCAGGTCGACTGTCATGGCCTGATGGACGAGCTCAACCCTCTCTAAGGCCTCCTTGAGACTCGCCTTGGTATGGGCGAGATCAGACTCCATCGATAGTCCTCTCTCCCCAAGCAAGTGCCAGAGCTTCACCTCCTCGTCACGGAGGATGAACCGGGCCTTTCCCGCCTCGCCAGGGCAAGGCCACACCAGCTCGCAGGTCACCCGCGACCCGCTGGAAGATTCAACCATCGCAATATTATATGACGACCGGGTCATCACCAGCTCCCAGGATGGCAGAATGGCCGACGGCTCCACCCGGTGTCTTCCTCACTGGAGAAAGGGATATCCACCGCTAGGACTCCATGGCCCACCGGCCGATGTGGGTGCACTACCTCCGGCCTGGCCGTGGCTCCTCTGGACCCCTCCAGCTCCGACCAGGCGGGCGAATCGTGCGCTTCTCCACCGGGCGAGGCAGGGAGCCCGGTTTCCCTCCTTTCCCCCTCTGCAGCCGTTGGGGTAGGGACCACGAGAGTCAGCTCCAACTCGACCTCCGCCATCACCACGGGGATCGCCTCCATCACCGCCGCCGTACTCGCGACCGGCCAGGAAGACACAACCCCTAGTAAGGAAGGTCGCGCCGTCGCTAGCCTCCTTCCTCCGACGCTCGTCGCGACCCGCTGTAGGCTGGGTCTCCACTCTTCTCGCACGTGAGGTGGGAAGATTCCTAGTCCCGCCAATCCCTGGCTGCTATCAAACGAGCGCAGGTTAGTCACACTCAAAAACTCAACTATGAAAATAGGAGGGAGTATGAATGCATACCTAGACAACAGCGGCAGAGCCCTGAAGCCCCGACCAGCTGACGACGAACTGACCGGACGAGGACCGCTCGTAGTTCGCGACCCGTGCCCCCTTGTATCGGCCGAGGAAGCAATCGACCCGGCCAGTCCCCGATTAGCCCGCGAACGGCTGCGATCGCCAGCTTGTGGCAAAACCACCGGAGCAACAGGCGGGGCACCTCCCCGTTGAGGGTCGCGCACACACATCGACCCCGATGACACAGGGGAACGATCACACACCCCAACTGACCGGCGTGCCCCACCACACTCGGTGTAGGGGGGCGCAAAGCCGCCGATGCCTACGAAGGGCGCGGAGACCGTGCCCACTTCGCCTCTCGTTCGAGGGCAGTTTCTTCGCTCGCGGTGCGCTTCCTTGACTCAGGAATGTCGCCGCGCATGTCCGTATCAAGCCCACTACCGACGGATGTGGCCGCGGGCTCACAGTGCTCCACCGAGGTAACAACAGCGCCCCTGTCTTCTTCGTCCTCAGAGGCACTCGCATCGCCACCCCTCTCCGTGGGCTCCTCCGACTCGAGCTCTGCCTCCACGTCGCTCCGGCTCTCGTCCCCCCAGACCCGCTGGTTGATCTCCTCCTTTTCGAACCTCCTTCGGGCCTTCTCAGCTTTCTTCTTTTTCTTGGCAAGCGCCGTCTCCCTCTGGGTAGCTTACCGAGCTGCGCCCTCTGGCTCCCTCGAAAAATGCGATCGGGATTTATAGCCCGCGAGTCCCTTCGAAACGGACAACTCAAGATCAATCAAAACATCAAAATAAGGAGGATAAGGTCATAGGAAAGAAGCATACCAAATTGGACAGGTTCACGACGTGAAGAGGTCCTGGCGTCCCTTCAAGGTAGTCTTTATCCCTCAACTACAGCATCTGATCGAGCCGACTCTAGACTTCATCCTTCGGCAGCTCCTCCGGCGACGCGCGGTTGGGATCCATTGGGCTAGAGTACTCCCACATCGGTCGTGTTCTCTCCGCCAACGGGGAGACCTGACGACGGAAGAAGGTATGGAAGACCCGCAACCCGTCGAGGCCACGCTGCACAAGCCTCTGAAGCTCCGTCTCGATAACCTCCAGCTTGTTCTGCCGACCAGCGGGACCCCACGACCAGCTTTCCCTCCTCTCCGGCCTCTTTCCGGTGAACGTCGGGAATGACGTCGTCGTCTGGTTCCTGATGTAGAACCACTCACCGTGCCACCCCTGGTTGGAATCACAGGGGAAGTACGTAGGGTAGGGGGATGACGGCTTCGACTTCTTCTGCAAGAAGAATTCCCCAACTGACGCGATTCTGGGCGGCTTCCCCTCGAACAGGGCTTGCCCACTGAAGATCCGCTGGAAGAAGTCCACGTGTGGCTCCATCCTGAAGAAGGCCTTGCAGACGGTGATGAAGCCGATGATGTGCAGCACCCCAGTCGAGTTGAGGTGCTGCAACTTCAGACCCCACTCAATGAGGAGCTCGCGCAGGAACCAGTGCGTGGGATACCTGAGCCCGCGCTCGTGGAAGGCGAGGAAGGATACGACCTCATCGGCCTGGGGGTGCGGAAAAACCTCCCTCGATGCAGGAGCTCTCCAATGCGCCACCTCCTTCGACGAGAGCAGCCCCTTCTCGGCGAAGGCGGCCAACACCTCTTCATCCACGCTGGAAGGCCTCCAGTTCGACATCGCACCTCGGATTTACGGACGAATCTGTGAGTTTCTTTTCTCTCCCTTGCTTTGCCCTCCTCTCTCCTAAAAACTGCCACGGCACACGAACAGGCTTGGCGAAAAGGAGGAAGGAGAAGAGGCGACGGTTGAAGAAAGGTGAAAGAATGGGAGGAAAACCCTCCCCTTCCCCGTATTTAATGCGGGAAGGCACGCGACGGGACGTGGCCCCTGGCTGATGGGACGCGCCCTGTCCAGCGAAATGTCACCTGGTTAACGGGACGTGGCCTGGGTAGGGTCCACCACTACCGCAACCCGAGCGCATGAAACAAGACGCAACCGCACGCAAATGACCCTCCGCCTTCCTAGGCAGGGTTTGGAAGGGCCCACCAACAGAATCTCCATCGAGGAGAGACCAACGGGTCACCCGAGTCGATCGGACGGCTCGGGCGGCTGCCGAGAGACAGGTAGGGAGCAGTGGGATGCCCCATGCGGGCTATGCCGACTCCATCACGAATGACGGGTCCAGATTCCATTCGAACATATCCAATAAAAACTCCCTGAACCCGTCACTCGAGCCATCAAGGTAACTTTATCAAACCCCCTTTTTTATTTTCTAGTGCATGATCATTCATTCATCCATTCTCATGCATGCATTCATACATTCATCCATACATTCATCCCATACATCCAAGCATTGCATATGCAATTGTTGCATCGCAACGCTTCGTATTGCGTCACGAAGCGGTAGTCGTCTCATTCGATATGAGCGATGACCGACCGAGGTTTGAAGGCCGGTCCGCAAAGGGCTCGAGGCCGCCTCGCGTCAAATAGAGCCAGGGGAGAAAACGCAGATGAGCCCCAGCGGCCCTCGCTCGATCCACTCCGAAGCGGACAGGGTCATCTTGAGAGATCTTGTAGTCTAGGGTTGTACTCGAAAAAGCGTGGCAATTTCCTGAGTAATGGACTCCACGTTTGACTCTGAAAGTCTGTTCAGAAGTCCTAATGCATAGCAAACATTAGGTCATACATGGGAATACACTCGCAAACTAAAAATGATAAATACACGTGGCAACAATCAAGTAAATATAAGATAGAATTTAGGCTCAAACCTCTTACTCTGCGACACATCTGGGCAATTTCTTCTGATTCTGAATTGGAAGCATTACGCAAACTCGGAGGTACATACTTCCCTTTTGATTCTGTGGGCAGTTCAACCACATTAGGCTCTCCATCCTCAGATTCCAGAACTGCTCCACCATTCTCTTCATCCATGTCAACACCTTCGTCATCTGGTTCGTTCATCTCTGAGTCATCCTCCATCTTCTTTTTCCTTTTCCGACCGTTCTCTTCACCCACATCATCCAGTTCCTTCATTTCCATACCAGCCTTCTTCATCATCTTCTTCTTCTTTTTCCGACCATTCTCTTCACCCATGTCATCTGGTTCCTCCATCTCTATGTCATCCTTCTTCGCCTTCTTATTTTTCTTTTTACCTTTTTTCTTGTCTAAATTAGTGTCATCCGCCACATTCCAATCATATGCTTTTGTTTCATCATCTGAACCAAAGTCGCCACCAAACCCAAGGTCTACAAAAAGTTCATCCATACCATCATCCGGACCTCCCAACTTTCCTTTCTTCACCTTGAGCTTTTTCGCAAGCTTCCTCTCCATCTCTAGATCCTCCTCCATGCTCACAGCTCCACCCATCTCCATCTCAAGATATTCCTGGAAGTTGGACTTGGGCTTCGGCTTACCCTCTGCTTCCCTCTTTCTCTTCTTCTTCTTCTTCTTCATGCCATCAGGCTCTTTCTTTGGCTTCTTCTCCTCAACCGGACTTGGCTCTACTACTGGTATTGCCGGCTTCTTCTTTTTGCCACCCTAAATCATTAAATTTAGTGCATCAGAATTAAGACAGTAAAGAAGGCAAAACAAGTTATTGCAGTCTTCCTTTCCAGGGACTTGGTAAACTCACCTGATGCTCAACCCAAGAGAGAAACCGCAGCTTGTGCTTCTCTGATCTCGCTTCTTTCCGCCTCTCTTTTCGTGACTTCTGCTCTGATTTCCCTGGAACAAGCACCAAGAGCAAACATTCAGCATACATTGTTGCAGTAGTAGAGTTCGTTCATCACAGAGAACAGGTATAAGACTCCGGGAAAAAAGCCCTTACCCGCCATGATTACTCTAAGCGCTCCTAACGTGGACTCAATTGGACCTGCAAATTGGGCAACAAAAGATTACTAATGGGCAGGGGCGGACACAGCAAAGGGACATGGATGTACACATGACCCCCGATAATAATTGCAAAAAAGTTCGAAATTAGGAGGCATCAGATAGCCAATCAGCTTTAGTTAGGGTTTGGGTGCTCGGCTTCGCACAGCAGGGAGACAAGAGAAGGGATGGGAATACCTGGTGGGTGCTCGTCGCCGGCGAAGAGACCGACGAAGGCCTCAGCACCTGGCATAGGACGGCGACGGCGGTGGCCCACCAGTCGTCGGAGAGCGAGAGGGGGACGAGAGAGACAGACAGAAACACACGAATGGAGGGAGGAATGCGGCGGACGGCCGGCCGGCTCAGTCTGGGGTTGTTCGGCGGCACGGGGAGAGCGCACCCACACGGGAAGAGGGAGAAGAATTCCGTGAGGGCAGGGGGCAGCAAGAACGGTTCGTCCGTTTGGGCCGATTTGAGTTTTTGGGCCACTTGTTTTTTAGGCTGGAATGGGACAAAAGGAGGATGCATTGTTAGTGGGATGAAACCACTTTAGCCCATGTTTTAGTCGAAGAGCAACGTATTCTCTCTCAATCACTTCCTTTTTGAATTTGAGATTGAGAAGCTATTTGTTCAGTCTAAAAAGGTAGCTAAAAATACGTTTAGTGCATTTAAACAAAAAAGGCTAATAGGTGTTTTACTAGTTGATAGCCAATTAACTAGTTGCAAACTTAGATTATTTTTTAGCTCCAGCTAATGAGTGATCGACAGAACGTGCTAGCAGTAGGCCTTGCATGCAGCATGGGGTCTGCCATCACCATCCACGCCTTGAATGCTTCTTTGCTCCGCTTACGAGACACAACCTTCCCTCATGCTCACAGTCTCACTGGTGTGACCCTTCTTCACTCATTTCCTCTTCTCCACTCCCTTTCCTAGCAGCTTTGTTGCATGTAAAAATAGTGTCGAAGCCATCGCTAGCTAGGAGCTCCCTTCATCGCGCTCGTCATCTTGTCCTAGCTCTACAAGGCACACATACTCCTACTACATGCTAGATAGATGTACATAGAAGTAGCCCAATGGTGCAGATCTTCATTGATTTGGAACCTTTGGTAACGTGGCATATATGTTGGCCAGTAGATAATAGCTTAACCTCTATACCTCTGTACGTAAGCTAGCAATATACAAACTAGTTCAAAAATTTAACAAGTGCCGCTACGTCTCTCTCCCTCCCATTCTTTCCACGAAGTGCGGCAAACCAGCCAATGAGTTATCGATAGAGCGTGCTAGCAACATGCCTTGCATGCAGCAACGGGCCCGCCATTACCATCCACGGCTTGAATGCTTCTTTGCGCCCCACGTGCGAGACACAGCCGTCCCTCAGGCTCAGTCTCACTGGTGTGAGCCGTCTTCACTCATTGCCTCTTCTCCACTCTTCTTTCCTAGTTGCTGGTCGAAATAGTGTTGAAGGTGTCGCTAGCTAGGAGCTCCGTTCATCGCGCTCGTCATCTTGTCCTAGCTCTACAAGTTCTACAGTGAACCAGAGGTACACATGCTCATACAAGCTTGATTACATATAAGTATCCCAATGGCACATATCTTCACTGATCTGGAACCTTTGGTAACGTGGGATACATGTTCGTCAGTAGATAATACCTTAACCTCTATACCTGTGTACGTAAGCCAGCAATATACAAACTAGTTCAAAAATGTAACAAGTGTGGCTACGTCTCTCTCCCTTCCATTCTTTCCACAAAGTGTAGCTAACCAGCCAATGAGTGATTGACAGGACATGCTAGCAGCGGGCCTTGCATGCAGCATGGGGCTCGCCATCACCATCCACACCTTGAATGTTTCTTTGCACATGTCTTTGATCGATTGTAACTAGCTGATGTATGGTGGTCGCCTCTAAGCATCGTAGAAGTGAATAACTCTCAATAGGATGTTATCCTACTCAGGTTGTTGTTATATATGTTATACATAGTTGTTAGTCAAATATTGGTACATTAAATTTTAAAAAGACAAGTAGTCTAGACAATACCACCCTCTTTACTTGTATAGGAGTGAAAGCTAGTTAGCGATGCCTAACTCTAGCCACTGGGCCCACTAGTAATGCGAAATTCTAGCAAGCTAATGTAATTCTAGGAATTTAAAATAGAGAAAATTCATAAAAGTGCTTAAAATGATCTTTTAGGAGTAGTAAGTTTATACACGTGAGATTATTGTATCTTCATTTTCCATGTGACTTGTGAGTGGCATCACATAAAATGGATTTTAAGTAAAGTCCAAATAAAATATTTGCATTCTTCTCTCAACTCTCGAGGAAGTAGGAACAGTCCAGAGAAACCACCCAACCAACCGTTTTTTTTAAACCTACAGTAGAATCGAGCCGTTCCACAGAAAGTGGCAAAATCTGGAATCCAAGGGTTTTGGCTTTTCCCTGCCCGTTTCTGCGCCCGCGCGCTCCCCGCTCCCTCTTTTCCCGCCGCCACGACTCGCTCGCGCGCGCCGCATCGCCGCCGGCGAAGGTCCTACCCGTGTTGCGAACTTGCGATGCGCGGCGAGGCCGGCAATGACGGCGGTGGCGGGGATACCCAAGTCCTGGACGGCGGGACACCTCCGTTAGGTGAGTGCGCATTGTTTATTGGCCGTGGTTCTGTGGGCGATTGGTGTAATGTAAAGGTGCTATTTTTTTTTGTGGGTGGATGTACATTGCGGTCATCAGGTTCTCCATCGAGTGATGGCGATGGGACACAGCGCAAGGCGGATGATTGGGCGCTGTACGACGAAACACAGCCTCTGGATGATGCCGAGACCCAGTTAATAGACGAGGTGGTGGAGGAGGAGGAGGGTGTGGCTGGCGATTGGACGGAGACACAGCTGGTGGAGGGTGGCGATGACGGTGACCAAGTGAAGACGCAGCAGGAGATGGAAGATGGGGAAGGGGGCGATGTCGGTGGTGGCGCTGAGGATAATGCCGGTAATTGTACTCAGGCTCAGTTGGTTGAAGAATGTGAGGTGGATGGAGTGAACACCGTTGTAGGAGACATGGTTGAGACCCAGTTGGTTGAGGAATCTGAGGAGGATGACAAGGATGGATTAAACGATGATGATGAACATGATCCTGGTGAGTTGGGGAAGACCCAGTTGGTCGAAAACTCTGATGAAGACATAGGTGACGATGAGTTGAGCGATGGCACTGTTGTCTTAAGTGACAATGAGAGCTTGTCAGAAGATGAGAGGGGCATGGAGTCAGGAATGGATAAAAGGGATGCGAAGTTGGGAATGGAAGGAAGTATCGAGGGGTTAAATGGAGGGATTAAGAAGCATGATGATAACAATAATTTGGTGGATTCTGATGCATCGACAGATGAGGAGGGTGACACAGATTCAGGTTAGTTACCAGCACTGAATCTGCTATTATTGCTATCTTTGTTTCGTAGAAATTCATTAGGATCATTCTATGAAATTTACAATATAAAATGCTTACAGAAGTCCCTGTAGTTTTATCAGTTTTAAGTTGAGAGAGGCCTAAAGGTATCAAAGTAGTCCAGAGACCTCTTGTCCTGTTTCTTATTTTAAAATCAGAACTTAGTCTTTTAGAGTTTTGTCCGATAACAGAAATATATTTTTTTCTCAGACAATCACAATGTGTAGTCTCTTTTTTTTTTAAGGTACTGGTGTTTTGGTTGAGATTTTATTTCATTTTTGTTTTCCCTGGTAAAGAGGTGATTTAGCTTTACATATTCATCTTGGGGGAAATTTTAGTTATCAATGCTTTGATTCTTATTAAGGGGAATGACATTGTCAAATAGCAAAAGTGTTCTGTATCTCTGGTTTGAACATAATGAAGAGTTGTACTTGATTTTTCTTTTATATATACTACCCTTATTTCTAAAAATGCTTAGTTTATTAGATTTAATTTAATCTGGCTTTTTAGTGCAACTTAAATTTTGTTTTTCTAATGCCAACATATGTGCAACATCTAGGTCATCTTCAGTTGAAATTACCTTCTGTTCGTGTTGCATCAGTACGGACATGTGGAATTTCTGAACCTCGGGACACTGTCTGTGAACTGTATAAAGCAAGGGAAACAAAAGGCCTCATCCAACGCAATACATCCCCTGCCGAAAATTGTAGATGAATCTACTTCGTGTAGCACCTCCTTTGGTGGGGTTGATAACGACTCCCATGGTAATGTACAGAACCATGATAAAGGTGGAGGTAAAAGCAGAGATAAGTGCTCAACAGCGAAAAAGCTTTTTGCTGACACAGCAGCTGAGGATGGTGAAAACAACAGCAGATGTCTTGCTGGATTAAGCTATGTTGGATCACAGGAGCCTGGTGATCTGTCACAAGCAAATGCTTTTGATGTTGTGGACAGGTTGATTTCAATCAAAGGTGGATTATCATCTCAAGAAAACACCCCAAATAAATTGGAAAAAGAAAAGCCACGTGTTTCAAGTAAGAGGGGGACTTTAATGTTGGCTGAGAAGGTTGACCTTGGTAGAGGTTCCAATACAAAGGCAGAAATATTTGAATTTGTGGATAGCCGTGAAGATGATGGAGGAGGTGACTTTTTCAGTAAAAACAAAGACATCTTTTTGCTGAAACCAATTGGTAGAGGAAAACCAAAGAGTCATTCTACCAGAGCAAAGAAATCTTCCACAAAAAAATCACGGGGAGAAAATAAAATAGGGGAAGCCATGAACAAAAGAAATACCAAACTATCTGGGAGGTTTGAAACTATTCCTTTATCAGATTCAAGACTATTCAAAAGTGATGTAAAGAGTAAGCGGGCTTCTGGAAACAGGACTAAGAAAAACCTTTTGAAGGACTTAGATGATCTATCAAATGCCAAATCATTGGAAGAACAGGAAAGGGCTGATGTAGCTTTGAATGATGTTGGTCCAGATACTCAGATGGCTGTTGAAGCTATGGAGGCCCTGGTACAATGTTCACCTGCTAAAAGTTTATCTGCTGAAGGTCAACCTCTGTTCAATAGAGATAAGAGAGCTGAGAAGTTTAGAATAACTAAAAGTCATTCGAAGAATGATTCTCCTCAGAGAACTAGCAACATCCAGGAAGGTGTCACGACACGTTCTAAAAGAAGAAAAGTAACTGACTTCAGTACCAAGCCTCAGAAAGAAAGACTAAGAGGATCGAAGATGCAAGAAAGTTCTGAGCCTATAGTAAAAGTGAAACATAAGCAAACAAAGTCTGTACCAGAGAAGAGCAAAGTTTCAAAGAAATTTATCGATGAAAATAAGAACCATGGGACACCTGTTGCTCACCGAACTAGGCATTGTGGTAGGAATGACCCTTCTGCCTTTATCGAGTTATCTAATAAACACTTGAGGAGAGTCAAGAAATTGACAGGTGACAGCTCCACTATTGGGCAAGTGCAAAATAACCACATTGCAACCAAATCTGGTTTGAGTTGTTTTGAAAAAGAAAGCACAGAGCAGACTTGTACAAATAATGATCAAGATCTTCAGCAATCTAGGGATGGAAGCGCACATCGGACCAGTGTAAATAATGTTCAAAACCTTGAAGCACACAGAGTTGAACCAACAACTGATGTTACATGCAGAGATTCCCCATCGCATCCCAAACGGCGAAGAACACCTACAAAAATGATACAGTCAACCGCTGCAGCTTCTGCAAATCATGAAATACCGTCAGAAGTGGCAAGACCATGCAAGAAAAGGCGGATTTTCATAAGAAGTGTTTCTGACCTGCTAAAGTATGCAAAGAGGGAACCTTCCCATGGAAGATCAGCTTCTATGATGTCCAACATTATAGAAAAATCATTAGCTGCTTCTCCTGTACTTAATTCTTCTGTAAGAGATGACAGGAAAACTTCTTCTGATGTCATTAGCTCTGCACAGAGACTGAAGGAATCCTCCCATGTTGAGGATACAAGCAAATCACCAAAAAACAATCCTCAAGTTCCGAATAGTGCCATGAAAATACCTTCAAAAGTGGTTAATGAATTGTCACCCACTTTTAGTCCTGTGAATCCATCAAAAGGCTCAAGTAGAAGCTTGTCAAAAGCTTCTATTGCGAGAGAATTACTGAAGCTAGATCCTGAAAATGTGCTATCAAATCAGCAGAGAAAAGATTCCAGAAGAAGGAAGGATATGGCCAATGTCAGTATTTTATTCAGCCATCATTTGGATGACGATGTTATCAAGCGTCAAAAGAAGGTAAACTATATTTCTATATATATTCTTGTTAGTAATCATCACTTTGAATGAGGTATATTCATGATGACCTATGTTGTAGATCTTGGCGCGCTTAGGAGTTTGTGAAGCATTTTCCATGGCCGATGCAACACACTTTGTTGCAGATAGATTTTGCCGCACAAAGAATATGCTAGAAGCAATAACTCTTGGCAAGCCAGTAGTTACTGTTAGCTAATCTACTGCCACCTTGTGTGAAACATAGCAGAGGAAGGCGGCGCCGACTTTGCCCCCCTCGCTGTCTGATGAGTCATTGTAGGTGCAAAGGCCGCATGGCTCACCATGCGACACTTTGTAGGCATATCTGATGGCACGCGCAGAGTCAGCCTCAGATGCTTATCTAGTTCTTTATTCAAGATGTGCGCCAGTGTACTTTAGTTAGATAGATAGAGTTCTATAAATAGGGCACCAAGGCAACTCAAAGAAAAGAGAGCTCAGATTTGCCATCACACGAGACAGGGGCCTCGGCCAACGTTGTTGTCTTGTATTGTGCGTGCTTGTTCTGTTCTCCTTCTTCTTCTAGCTCGATCCGTAGTGTGTGGAGTGCGGACACAACCGTATAGTGGTCCAGGGAGACTAGTGGTCCGAGACTAAGTGGTGCAGTGCGGGAGACTAGTGTGGTGCAGTGCAGGAGACTAGTGGTCTGGAGACTAGTGGTCTGGTCTGGGAGACTAGTGGTCTGAGACTAGTAGTCTGGAGACTAGTTCACTATCGTCAGCCGGTGATCCCATGGGCCAACAAGTGGTATCAGAGCCGTACAAGCGCCGTCGTCATTCTAACCGATGGCGAGGACATGGGGTTTGGAGTTGGGAGATGGCAGTGGCACTGTCATAGATGCCCAGCCACTACCGGAGGTAGTTGTCCACACGGTGCGGGAGGTCAGCGGCACCACTTGGCCGACGCTGACTCGCACTAACTATGGAGAGTGGTCGGTGACCATGAAGGTCAAGCTCAGAGCCGACGGCTCTGGAATGCTGTTGACAAGGGCACCAACGTGGAAGAAGACGACATGTCAGCGTTGGAGGCTATCCTCGCTGCTGTACCGGTGGAGTACAGGGAACCGTTGGGGACGAAGAGCTCAGCTAAGGAGGCGTGGGAGGCCATTGCGGCGATGCGCGTCGGTTCCGACCACGCAAAGAAGGCAACGGCCCAGCTTCTGAAGCAGGAGTATGCAAACCTCAAGTTCAAGGATGGTGAAACAGTGAAGGACTTTTTCCTCCGCCTGCAGACGCTCATCAGCAAGCTGAAGAGCCACGGCGTCACCATCGACGAAGAGGAGGCGGTCTCCAAATTCCTCCACTCCGTGCCGGCAAAGTACATCCAGATCGCTCTCTCCATAGAGACGATGCTGGACTTGTCCACCCTCACCATCGAGGATGTGGCGGGCCGTCTGCGGGTGTGGACGGCGCTGGAAGCGAGCAACAACAACGAACGGACGACGCGGAAACTCCTGGCCGACGGAAGAGGAGTGGGCTGCTCGGCGAAACTCCGGAAGGCGCCTCCTCCGATCGTGGTGGCAACGGCAAACATCGCGCGAGGCTTCTTCTTCGGAGAAGAAACAAATCGACTCAACGCTGCCGGTGTTGCGGGAAGATGGGCCATTGGGCAGGAGTGCCCAAATCGCAAGAAGGAAAAGAAGGCTCAAGCTCACCGGCGAAAGCCGATGATGAGGATGAGGCCACTATCCTTATGGCGACGTTACGTAATCGCACGCACGCCGAGGCCATGGAGAGGGAAGAGGCGACGACGGTGGAAGGATCTAGCAAGGCCACGAAGACCGTCAACCTCGACGAACCACGCGCCCAAGTCCATCTTGGGCATGTGGGCGTCGACCAGAGCAGCGGTGGTATCTCGGACTCGTGCCGCGAACCACATGACGGGCTCTAAGGACTCCTTCTCCGAGCTCGACGGTGATGTTACCGGTACGGTGAAGTTTGGTGACGGCTCAAGGGTGGCTATCCAAGGGCGCGACACCATCATCTTCAGATGCCAGAATGGGGAGCACCGCGCGCTAACAGATGTATACTATATCCCGCAGCTGCGTTCCAAAGATCATCGGTGATGGTCACCGGATGAGCACGCGTAGCGAGTTCTCGATCAAGGACGGCGTTACGAGGATCGAGAGACCGGAGCGGCGACTTCTCGCCAAGGTGAAGAGGTCCTCGAACCAGCTTGTACCGCCGACCGAAGGTAGAGCGGCCGGTTTTACCCAGGCGGCAAGGCACTCCGAGGAACCGTGGATGTGGCATGCCCGGTTTGGACATCTCAGCTTCGACGCGCTTGGTCGGCTGGGGAAGATGGTCCGAGGGCTACCCCACATCAAACACGGAGGCGAGCTGTGTGACAGCTGCCTGACCGAGAAGCAGAGAATGCTACCTTTCCCAAAGGCGGCCAAGTATCGCGCGAAGGAAGCTCTCGAGCTAGTTCACGGCGACCTCTACGGGCCGATCACGCCTGCTACATGCGGTGGTCGGCGGTACTTCCTCCTGCTCGTGGACGATTGCAGTCGCTACATGTGGCTGCAACTCCTGACGAGCAAGGACGAAACGGCAGTGGTGATCAAGAAGTTCAAGACACGCGCGGAGGCCGACAGTGGCAAGAAGCTCCGTGTACTGAGGACTGATTGGGGTGGCGAATTCACTTCGGTGGAGTTTGCTACGTACTGCGCAGATCAAGGTGTGGGGCAACATCACGCCGCGCCGTACTCGCCACAACAGAATGGCGTGGTGGAGCGACGGAACCAGACAGTGGTCGGCATGGCCCGATCCATGATGAAGGCCAAAGGGATGCCAGCAAAGTTCTGGAGAGAGGCGGTGACCACGGCGGTGTTCATCCTCAACTGCGCTCCAACCAAAGCCCTAACGGGCAAGACGCCGTTCGAAGCTTGGTATGGGAGCAAGCCGAACGTGTCATTCCTCCGGACATTCGGTTGCATCGGCCACGTTAGGAAGACAAAGTTGAACCTCACCAAGCTGGAGGACAGGAGCACACCCATGGTGTTCCTGGGCTACGCGGAGGGTACCAAGGTGTACCGGCTCTATGACCCACGCGGAGACAAGGTGACTGTCTTGCGCGACGTTGTGTTCAACGAGGAAGCGACTTGGGGACCGCACACCCGAGCACGGGGGGAAGCGGGAGGCTTCACCAACACCTTCGTCGTCGAGCACTTGGTCATCCACGGCGGTGGAGACGCTGCGAACAGTGCCACGCGACTCGGGAGGAGCGCCGAGCACTCCGGCGGTAGAGTCGAGCACTTCGGGCAAAGGCTGAAAGCACTTCGGAGGAATGCCGAGCACGCCAGAGTGGAGCCAGGAGGTTCTGCAGTGGTGGCGGCGACCACTTCGTGACGGGTGCCGAAAGCACTCCCGTGGCGGAGCCAAGACGTCTTCTCGTGGTTCCGACCACTCCAAGATCGAGAGTCGGGCACTCCTACAAAGTGGCCGAACACCGCAGGGAGTTATGACGAGCGATCCGAAGCGATCTTGAGCACTTCAAAAGCTATCTGCGGGCACTCCGGTAGAAGAAGGAACTCCATCACCCCCGATTGAGTTCACCTCACCTCCAAGTAACATCACTGAGTTCGTGGATGCGCCTACCATGAAGGTGAGGAGTTGAGGTTCCACAGGCTGGACGACATCGTCGGCGGCACATGTCCCTCAGGTCTGGCGGGTAGGCTGCTCAACGACGCAGAGCTGCTACTCGTCAGTGCAGAGGAACCACCCACGTTCGCGCTAGCCGAGCGCGATGGAAACTGGCGACAGGCAATGCTGGAGGAGGTGAAGGTGATCGAGGAAAACGAGACTTGGCAGCTCGTCGATCCACCCCCAGGATGCCGTCCGATCAGCCTGAAGTGGGTGTACAAAGTCAAAAGGGACGAGCTCGGCGCCATTGTCAAGTACAAGGCGCGCCTCGTCGTCCGAGGCTTTGTCCAGCGCGAGGGCATCGACTTTGAGGAGGTCTTTGCACCAGTAGCGTGCATGGAGTCGGTCCGTTTGCTACTTGCTTTGGCGACAGCAAAGGACTGGCGCGTCCATCACTTGGACGTTAAATCGGCCTTCCTCAACGGCGGTGGCGGAAACGGTCTTCGTCGCCGCAACCTCCGTGGTTCGGCTTTGTCAAGGGAGAGGAGCACGGGTGCTCCGATCGCATAAAGCGCTCTACCTGAGGCAAGCCCTCGAGCATGGAACGCCAAGCTTGACACCACGCCCGGCGAGCTTGGGTTTCAGAGGTGCGCAACCGAAAGCACGCGCTCTACACGCCGACGGGGGGAAGGAAGAACTCGTGGTCGGTGTGTATGTGGATGACTTAATCGCCACCGCCGGCGCGCGGGAGGATATCAACAGCTTCAAGCGAGAGATGGCAGCTCGTTTCCGAATGAGCGATCTCGGCGCTCTCTCCTACTACCTCAAAGATCGAGGTGAGACGGGAAGGAGGAACTCACGCTCGGGCAAAGCGCGTATGCCTCCAAGTTGTTGGAGAGGAGCGGCATGGTGGAGTGCAAGCCATGCGTGACTCCGATGGAGGAGCGCCGGTTGAAGGCGAAGGACGACACACGGCAAAAAAAGATGCAACACTCTCACCGAGCATCGTCGTCGGCGGGTCTGCGCTACCTAGTCCACACAAAGCGGACATTGCGTTCGCCGTGGGCTCGTCGATCGCTTCATGGAGGATCCCGAGAGGATCATCACGGGCTGCGGTGAAGCGGCTACTACGCTTCGTCAAGGGGACGGTGAATCATGGAATCATCTTCCAAAAACCGGGAGAAGTAGGCTGCGACTCACGGTATTCAGCGATGCAGACATGGCGGGGGACATCGACGGACGACGGAGCACCTCTGGCGTACTCGTCTTCCTCGGGTCGGCCCCAATTTCATGGTCATCATTTGAAAATGAAGGTGGTGGCGCTATCTACGTCGAGGCGAGTACGTGCGGCGGCCACAATGGCGTGCCAAGTTGTGTGGCTACGCCGCGGTGTTGGGCGAAGCTAACCGGCGTGGAAGCTCACCCACCAAAGACCGATGGTGGACAACCAGCCCCCTCGCCCTCGCGAAGAATCCGGTTCTCGCACGACCGGAGTAAACACATTGACGTGAAGTTCCACTTTCGTGGATCGTGTTGATGGAGGCGGATCGTCATCGAGTTTGTCGGCCCGTCGGCAACTCGCGGGACGTCCTCACCAAGCCGCTCGGACGACTTCGACTCACGGAGCTGAAGGAGATGATCGGCATGGAAGGGGTGCAAGGGTTAGCAGTAGGATTAGGGGAAGATTGTTAGCTAATCTGCTGCCACCTTGTGTGAAACACAGCAGAGGAAGGCGGCGCCGACTTTGCCCCCTGCTGTAATACAGTAGCCGCTGTAGGTGCAGGCGCCGCATGGCTCACCTGCGGCACTGTAGGCACATGCAGTGGCCGACGCAGAGTCAGCCCTGTATGCTTATCTAGTTACTGTTACAGCATGTGCGCTGTACTTTAATTAGATAGATAGAGTTCTATAAATAGGGCACCAAGGCAACTCAGTAAAGAGAGCTCAGATTTGTCATCACACAGACAGGGCCTCGGCCAACGTTGTTGTCTTGTATTGTGCGTACTTGTTCTGTTCTCCCTTCTTCTAGCTCGATCCGTAGTGTGTGGGTACGGACACAACCGGTATAGTGGTCTGGGAGACTAGTGGTCCGGTCTGGAAGACTAGTGTGGTCTGGTCTGGGAGACTAGTGGTCTGGGAGACTAGTGGTCTGAGACTAGTGGTCTGAGAGACTAGTTCACTATCGTCAGCCGGTGATCCCGTGGGCCAACAGTTACATCAATGTGGCTTGAAAATTGTGGACAAGCAGGCTGTTTTATTGATGAGAGGAAGTATATTCTCAGGGATGAAAAAAAGGAAAAGGAGATAGGTTTCAACATGCCTATATCGCTGGCCTCAGCCTGCAAACATCCTCTTCTGCTGGTACTGTGAAATTTGTAATCCTATTTCATCTACGCCTGTCCTTGATTCATTTTTTTTACTGAAAAATCATTTACAGGGAAAAAGAGTCTTTGTAACATCAAATGTGAAACCAAGTCAAGTAGTGGTGACTAGCTTGGTTAAAGCATCATCGGGGCAGGTCAGCCTTATTTTATTTTCCAACATACTGTAAGCTTTTGTTTGTATTTGAGATTTGAATTACATGTTAACAATGACTGGATTAGTTATATAACAATTGTTTTGTAATTCCTCAATTTTTTTTTTGTTTTGTAGGAAACAGTAAGGGGGTCCCTACTGGTTAATATGACAAAATGATATAGGTTATTCACAAAAATATAAATACTCTTATTAGGAAAACAAGACTTGCTGTGGAACCTTTTTCTATCGCCGTCGTTGCAATTTGTATCAACAAGACTGTTTTGAAACAAATAAACTAGGACAACCTGGTACACCAAAAGTCGAGTAAACTGGTTATCAAGTTAAACGGTTGATGAATCATTTTGTACAGGCAAACATTAGTTTTTTTTTTTGTATGTGATGATAGCATCTGTATGTTTGTTCTTACTTCTCTAGAGTTGAAAATCTTCTAGGTAGGCATACTGGTCTCATGAAGTTCTTTAGCATTTTCAACATGCTTCATTGTTTATATTAGCAACTATTCCCTCCGCTCCAAATTGTAAGCGTTTTTATTTTTTCTAGGTACATAGCTTTTGCTATGCACCTAGATATACATTATGTCTAGATGAATAGTAAAAGCTATACAACTAGAAAAGTCAGTTCCTTATGAATGCCCAGCCTGCTGCTTAAAATACAATTTTGGTACCCCATATTCGTTAACCTTTGCAAAAGATGTGAATAAACCAATAAAGTAGGAAACTTTCCAATATATATTAGTATCAAGCAGGCAATTGCTGTTACACTTGTCATTTGTATATTGCTTGCAGTTTCCCTCGGTACTTTGAAAAACCATTTTTCTTTAATCAAAATATGGAAGTCATATCCCTCGCTGTATTAGTAGGCATTCTGATGCAATCGGTGATGTGTTGCCGAATACTTGAATAATGAAACTGAACTTTGGGTTTTGTGTAACACATCAACCAAATAATGGCTCTAAAGTTTTGCTTTCACTGAATATATGTGGAATCTCTAAATACATCTTTCTTCAAAAAAAAATTACTGCTTATGTTTTTTGTATACAAATATGCAGCACTGTTCCCCCCCCCCTTCTCTTATGTTTTTCAATGTTGTACTGTTTAACTGTCTTCCTTTGTGATACATTAAGTGGACAATATGGAAAAAGGTTATCTATCAGGCCATCAGGGCACTTGATTTGGTTCAAATGTTGACTAATGCCTTCGCCAAACAGACGCAAAAATACTTACATCCATGTTAAGTACTCTGTAAAGGGTCAAATTTATGCAATCTTCTGTCCATGCGTGTGAAGTTTGAACCAAGTTAGGATGTGAATTCAAGATTGTATTATGCCCTTGGGAGACCTGTACACTGTTTTTGAAGCGGCAAATTAAATGGGATTTTGTCTCAATGGTCACTGTTTGGCACAACATACCTAACCTTTGTTTTTTGTTTTGCAGCCACTAGAGAGGTTAGGACGATCCATAATGAAGGAAAAGGAAGTACCTCCTGACCTACTGGTTCTCTCATGTGAAGAAGACTATGGAACTTGTGCACCACTACTCGAGAAAGGTCAGACATACTACACCATGCTTTGCATACTATTTTCTTCTCAGGATCTAGGCAGTCAGCTAATGTATATGAGTACCCAATAGGCGCTAGTGTTTTCAGCGTGGAGTTTCTACTAAACGGAATAGTCATTCAGAAACTGGAGTATGAGAGGTGAGTGAACCTAACCTAATTTCATCCATTGAATCATGCATTCTTTGAACTCAGCCTATGGTGGGGCGCCTTTGGTGTCCCAGCATAGCAGGGTCTCAAGCCCTGGTAAAAGAGGAGGGTTGTGTTAGGCGCGGCGAGCCAATGTAAAAACTTAGCCACTTTAATGGAAATAAAACCCAAAAGAATCCTGTTGGGGCGTAACTCTCTTAGCGACGCGCTATGTCGGAACCCGGGTATGGTGTTAAATGTGCAAGGGCCGGGTCGTCACCCCCGTGACGCGCCGTGTCGCGATCTGGACACGGTGTCAAGTGAGTAAGGATCGGGTCGTCGCATCCTTAGTGGCGCGCCACATCGGCGCCCGGGTGTGGTGCAAAATGAGTAAGGGTCTTCACACCTACCTCGGCGGGTGCGAAGGGTAAGGAAGCTAATCGAGCCAACTAGGATCCGTTTAGGTAGCTGAAATGTAGGGTCTCTTACAGGTAAGTTAAGAGAGTTAGTGGACACTGCGTCCAAGAGACTAAATGGAAGGGGCAGAAGGCGAAGGAGGTGGACAATGCCGGCTTCAAGCTCTGGTACATAGGGATAACTTAAAATAAAAATGGAGTAGGAGTTTTGATTGATAAGAGCCTCAAAGATGGTGTGGTAGAGGTGAGAAGGCAAGGGGATAGGATCATCTTAGTTAAACTTGTTATTACTGATATGGTCTTAAACGTAATTAGTGCGTATGCCAAGTAGTCCATGATGAGAGTGCTAAGCGGCTTTTCTGGGAACACTTAGATCGCTTGGTTAGAGCTGTCCTTGGTAGCGAGAAGCTTTTTGTAGGAGGTGATCTTAATGGTCATATAGGTACATCAAGTGTAGGTTTCGAGGCAGTTCATGGGGTTTCGGATATGGTAGTAGGAACCAGGAGGGAGAGGAAGTCTTAGACTTCGCTATAGCTTTTGATCTGATGATAGCTAACACTTTCTTCCGTAAGAGACAGTCCCATTTAGTGACCTTTAGTAGCGGCCAGTACTTTAGTCAAATTGACTTTGTCCTTACAAGGAGGGATAAACGAACATGCGTGGACTGTAAGTTGATACCTGGAGAATGTGTGGTCGCTCAACACAAGCTGGTGGTGGCTGACTTCCGCTTTCTAGTGCAAGCTCATGGGAACAAACAAGCTAGGGTTGGTAGAACGAAGTGATGGGAATTAGAAGAGGAGGCATCAAAGGTCTTTAAGGAAAAGGTCATTGAAGAGGGCACTTGGAATGATGAAGGCGATGCAAACAACATGTGGGAGAAGATGACAACATGCGTTCGGAAGGTTGTTTCAGAGGTGCTTGGAGTGACCAAAGGGAGCGGATGCGACTCGAAAGACACTTGGTGGTGGAATGAAGATGTGCAAAAGGCTATTAAGGAAAAGAATGCTATAAGCATTTGTATCATGACAGGTGTGCAAACAACATAGAGAAGTACAAGGTGGCAAAGAAGACTGCAAAACGAGCGGTGAGTGAGGCAAAGGGGCGGGCCTATGAGGACCTTTACCAACGTTTGAGTACGAAGGAAGGAGAGAAGGACATTTATAAGATGGTTAGGGCTCGCGATAGGAAGACAAGGGACTTCAATCAAGTCAAGTGCATAAAGGATGAGAGGGAGCAGCACTTGGTGAAGGAGGATGCGATTAGACATATATGGCAAGAGTATTTTGATAAATTGTTCAATGGTGAGAACAAGAACACCACCGTTCAGCTGGACGACTCGTTTAATGACACTAATAGTAACAGGCGCTTTGTGCGGAGGATTCAAGAATCGGAGGTCAGAGAAGCCTTAAAAAGGATGAAAGGGGGCAAAGCGATAGGCCCTGATGGTATCCCAATCAAGGTGTGGAGATGTCTCGGGGATATAGCTATAGTATGGCTAACCAAGATGTTCAACAATATCTTTCGATCGAACAAGATGCCTGAGGAGTTGAGAAGAAGCATATTGGTACCAATCTATAAGAACAAGGGAGATATCCAAAGTTATACTAATTATCGGAGAATTAAGTTGATGAGCCACACTATGAAGTTATGCGAGAGAGTCATCGAGCAGCGCTTGCGAGGAACGATGCAGATATCAACAAAGCAATTTGGTTTCATGCCCGAAAGATCAACCACAACAGCAATTTTCTTAATAAGATAGGTTATGGAGTGGTTTAGAGAACAGAAGGACTCCCACTTGGTTTTCATTGACTTAGAGAAGACTTATGACAAGATACCAAGAAATGTTATGTGGTGGTCTTTGGACAAACATAAAGTCCCATCAAAGTACATGACCCTCATTAAAGACATGTACAACAATGGTGTGACTAGTGTTCGAACAAACGATGGTAATACAGATTACTTCCCGATTAAAATTGGACTTCATCAAGGGTCAGCCTTAAGTCTATATCTCTTTGCCTTGGTAATAGATGAGGTTACCAGGAACATACAAGGGGATATCCCTTGGTGTATGTTGTTCGCTGATGATGTAGTGTTAGTGGACGAAAGTCAGGTGGGAGTAAATAGGAAATTAGAGTTACGGCGGCAGACCCTTGAGTCTAAAGGTTTTAGATTGAGCAGTACTAAAACCGAATACATGAGATGCGACTTTGGCAGAGTTGTACAGGAGGAGGCAAATGTGAGTTTGAAAGGTCAAGTAGTGCCTAAGAAGGATACCTTTCGGTATCTGTGATCGATGTGATCGATGCTACAAAGGGATGGAGATATTGATGCGGACGTTAGCCATAGAATCAAAGCAGGGTGTATCAAGTGGCGACAAGCTTCTGGCATTCTCTGTGACAAGACGGTACCACAAAAGCTAAAAGGCTAGTTCTATAGAATGACGATTAGACCGGCTATGTTGTATGGAACAGAATGTTGGCCTACAAAGATTCGACATGTTCAACAACTGAGTGTTGCAGAAATGCGTATGTTACGATGGATTTGCGGTCACACAAAAATGGACTGAGTTCGGAACGATGATATACGTGATCGCCTAGAGGTAGCACCAATTCAAGAAAAGCTTGTCCAACATCGGTTGAGGTGGTTTTGCCATGTCTAAAGGAGACCTCCAGATACACAAGTGTATTATGGAGTCCTAAGTCAAGCTAATAATATGAGGAAAGGTAGAGGAAGACTGAAATTGATATGGGGGTGGTAATAAAAAGAGATTTGAAAGCTTGAGATATACCTAGAGATCTATGCTTGTGGCAGAATCGTCGAAATAACATGCTTACGGAGGTGCTTGCCTTCTACTAGAAACTAAGCACCTCGAAAGCAAGTTACAGCGGGCGGTATCCGTCGGGCACACCTAAAGGGAGAACCCGAAAGATCCACATTTTTCCAGGGTTCCAATAAATAGAACGATTTACAGTATTAGTCCATTTCATACATCAGAGTTTCTTAAAAAGTAAATTATTACATTACCAAATATCATAGTGCGGAATAATAAACAGCGGAATTTAAAATAAACATCAAGCGATAAGAACGAGGATCCGTCTGTGCCCACCAGAAGAATCCTCCACACAAAGGTACTTCTCATGCATCACCTGCAATAGGGGTAAATAAACCCTGAGTACAGAATGTACTTGCAAGACTTATCCGACTAGTGGGAATAATTTCTCGACTCCAAGGAATATGATAAGCTTTATGGTCTGCTGGTTTCTTTTGACAGAAAGCAATACTAATAGTGAGTTCTTATTTATGTTATTATTATCACCGTATTAAGTTATTATCTATCCAGTCTATATAAGCACATGTTCTACTTTCAAGCAAGAGTTGATCAATCAGTTTTTTTTCATCATCTTCCATCTTTCAGTTCTTACTACGATGCTAGAGTTAAGACAAGTCGTACCGACCCGGCGGCGATTCGCGAACCAATGTGCCCAGCTGGGTGCCTCGAAAACACACGCCCCGCTTGTACCTCAGGCAATTCTGAGGTCAATGCAATGTGAGCCAACACCTCTGCGTGGTTGAGAGACAAAGGTGTTTCCTCACCCTGGTGTGACTTTCGGCTCAAAGCATCAGCCACTACATTGGCCTTTCCTGGGTGATAATGGACTTTCAAATTATAATTCTTTATCAATTCTAACCACCTCCTCTGCCTCATGTTCAGCTCAGACTGGGTGAAAATATACTTGAGGCTCTTGTGATCCGTAAAGATATGTACTTTGTTGCCCAACAGATAGTGCCTCCAAATCTTCAGAGCGTGGACCACAGCAGCCAGCTCTAAGTCATGTGTGGGGTAATTCTCCTCGTGCTTTTTCAGTTGGCGCGAAGCATAAGCTATCACATGCCCATCTTGCATAAGCACACACCTCAAACCCGTCTTCGAGGCATCACAATATACATCAAAGGGTCTATCAATATCCGGTTGGTACAACACAGGAGCAGTGGTCAGAAATATCTTCAGAACTTGGAAAGCTTCTTCACAGGCTGGACTCCAATCAAACTTAGCTTCTTTTTGGAGCAGCTTGGTCATTGGTTGGGCTATCTTGGAGAAATCCGGGATGAAACGCCGATAGTACCCCGTCAGCCTAAGAAACTGACGAATCTGGTGCATAGACTTGGGAGACTTCCAATCCAACACATCTTGCACCTTGCTGGGATCCACTGAAGCTCCGTTAGGTGTCAACACATGCCCCAAAAACTGCACTCGATCTAACCAAAATTCACACTTGCTGAATTTGGCATACAACTTGTGCTCCCTTAGTCGAGCCAGTATTATCCAAAGGTGTTGGACATGCTCTTCATTATTCTTGGATTATATCAGGATATCATTAATGAATACTACCACAAACTTGTCCAGCTCTGGCATAAAAATTGAATTCATTAGGGACATGAAGAATGCAAGAGCATTGGTGAGACCGAAAGACATCACTAGGTACTCATACATCCCATACCTAGTAGAAAAACTATCTTTGATATATCATATGGCCTGATCTTGATCTGATGATAGCCTGATCGAAAGTCAATCTTCGAGAATATCTTGGCACCAGCTAGC